CAAGGTGCTTTTTGCAACCTTCCAGAGAATTAAAAAAAAAAAATTTCCTTGAAGACAATTCTATATGTATAGCAAAGAAAACGGCGACTTACCTTGTCAAACCAAGTGACGGCGTGTCACATGTATCCTACGACGGAAAAGAAAATTACTTACCAAAAAAAAGGGCACGTATTCCACATGATGTGCTAAAGACAGAATATTTAGATTAAAAGCAAGTCCATTGCAGGAGTCTCTATAAAAGTATTTTGTTATGCAAAATACTTGGTGTCCTCTCCCAGTTGTCGATGAATGTAAAAACTGCTCAGCCAATAAAAGCAGTTGGTGTTCTCGAATTGGGAGGAAAAACTGATGTATTTTGGCTACCGCGTTCGTCGGTGAGTGAGTTATTTTTCTGACTGGTTACATGCATTGAGATTTGTGAGATACTACCTGTGAATCGAGTTTTCAGCATTTCTTTCTGTCCCCGATATTCAAGTCTGAACTTACAGTGATTTGTTCTGTGTTGTGGAATTAATCTGCAACAAACATTTCCTTTGCTTTCAGAACACTTACAATATGATGTATAATAAATGGTAATTTCATGATCTAGGAAATACAGCAGATATATAAAAACATTGCTATGAGAAGTTTAGCCAAGCGGTTACTTGGGCTGGAAGAGAATGAGAAGACTTTAGTCTGGGAAAAGGACAATAAAAGAACAAGTTTCAGGAAAGTAGAAGGTGGCAATTGACATTGCATTTAAATCTTTGAAGATTGGAGGTGGCAGTGAAGCTAAACACTGGAAGAGTTCCACAGGTGCAAAGTGCGAGAAAAGAAACTATTAGTATAGACTGTACAGTTACATCTAGCTACGTCCAACAGTAAAACAGTGAGACCTAGTTGCCAATCTAGTAGTACAGTTAAATTCATGCAGTCAAGGTTACCAAGGAGGAACGCTCGTTAGGACAACTGCTATGAAAATATTTATAGAAAAGACAGAAGGAAGCCATGTGACAGTGATGCGGAAAGTGACTGAAATCAAGATGCCAGGCCAGGACCGATTCTGTTACAGACATTTCTTTGGAATTTGTTGAGAATCTCAAGATATATAGCAGCAGCACCTGACCAAATATGGCAGCAATATTCAATAAACGCAGATGAATAGTAGATTTATAAATGTGCAAGATGGATTCTGATGAAAAAAATTATCTGGTACTACACAGAGGAGGCACAGTGGAGTAATGGATAAGTGGCTCGGATTGAGGAATTGGAGAACCAAGTTCGAATTCCAGTCGAATCCATTACTTTCACTTACTTCGGAAAGGTATGAATCCTCTTCTCCCTCCAACTATGGGTAAATAGCAGGGCAGACCAAGTTCTATAGCCTTGGATGGCAACTGGTCTACCGCAAAAAGAAATGGCAACCTACTGCAGGAAAAAATCTGCTTCGTCAGTTATGTATTGAAAGATACATGATCACCTAAGCATGTATCACGCATGGCACATAACTGACTACACAGTGAACCAACTTTCCTAACAGCTGACCTAGCAATTGATTCAATATAGTTGCTGGATGCTTTTTATTGATTTCTGGGTTCAGCTGCTCTAATTGGGAACAGTACTTGTTCGAATCAATCATTTGATTCTCTGTGTATAACTCATAGTAGATGACCAACTTCAAATCTTTCCTTTAGATGAAGACACCATATTCTTTTACTGTGTCTTGTCAATGGTGCTTAAAATATAAATATGCTGGATGTATTCCCTGCAGAGGAGTATGACCATCTCCCAGGGACCCCCTTTCCAGGTGGATGCATTCAGACCCTGGAGTAAATCTGACAAATGTCTCCTTTTTTTTTTTTTTTTTTTTTTTTTACTCTAGTATAAACTGTATTTTCATCATCCATTCTGACTTGATTGCAAACTGGACTTACCCCCACTTGGCTTGAGAAATTGGGGAGCAGGGTTCAAATCTCAGTTGGGATTGTTACATTCACTTATGTGCAAATACTCTTAGAAACGGTATGAATTCATCTCCTCCTCCAGCTATGGGTTAAATAGTAGGATTTTTATCTGGAAAAACTCATTATTCTTAAAAAAGAATATTGTTAATGCAATATTCACTCACAAAGAAAGAATTCTCTTTCCAATCCAAAATATGTTTTGGCTTTTAAATAACTCACAAAATGTTGATAAACCATAAAAAATATATCAATCAATCATCACACACACACACACACACACACACACACACACACACACACACACACACCTACCTACCTCCAATTCTGACTTGAGTGCAATCTGTATCGGCATCAACTTTTCTATTAATTCATTGTTTTTTGTCATATATGATAATCAACATGTCTATCTTTTGAACACTGACCAGATTCACAAGTATCCACTTTTAGAATATACATGTTGACTGGACCCACACATGTCTACCTTTTTGACCCTAGTGCAGACCAGACTCACCAGTGTCTACCTTTTCAGTTCTATTGCAGAAAGGAGCCATCCACATTCATCTTTTTTACTTGACCTATGAAAGCTGGTCATGTCTACCTCTTGATTAATTTTGCGTGATTTTTGTCATACACAACTAGTATTTAACCTTGAATAACCCAACAAGTGTTGATATGTTAAATTGACCAACTTAAACTAACCTAACCTCTTGCATTCCATATTGCAAAAATATGCACTTGTCTTTATCCTTTGAAATTTAAATAGAAAAATAAAACTTTGGAATTTTCAACTTTTTCCTCTCTATAGAATCCTCATAAAATAGATATCAAATTGTGTGGAATTTCTTGCTTAATCCATGTGTAAAAGAATATTTTCAATCTCTTGAGTAGGGAGAATGTGCTGTTCGACGATGCACCGAATTGTGTTAGTGGATTTGTTGGAATTTTCATGCGGCCCAAAACTGGGGGATCACTTTAACTTTTTAACTTTTTTCCAGTAAATGAAATATTTTCAAAATTGGTATTAAATTGTAGGGAATTTATCAATTCATCCATGTCTACAATAATTTTTCATTTTGTTTAATAGAGCAAAGTACAGCTTTGACCATGTTCCTGCTGTGTCCTTTGACAATTTACGGTGTCCGAAAACCGGTTTGCTCAATGAGTCTTCATTTCGACTTTTTCCTCTCTATAGAATCCTCATAAAATAGATATCAAATTGTGCGGAATTTCTTGCTTAATCCATGTATAAAAGATTATTACATTACATTTCTCTTTGTCTAAAAGAATCATGAATGCTATTTCAGTGACCACTTTGGTTTCCTCATTGACGTTTTTTTATTTGACATCTTTGAGGATACGTTAATGCTCTCTTTTTTGTCAGTATCTCTCTATATTTCTGAGATGAGGTATTATGTACATTATTTATGTTATTCGGACTATTGTCCTCAGCTTTGTCACCATACTTATTACGTTTTTGCCGTTGTATGCTCTGGGCTTCTTCAGGTAGTTGGAATGTTGAACTGAACCCTTTATTTCGCTCACTGGGGTAGACTGTTCTAGTTCCACATGTCATGTTTAATGGATGTCAGTTATCAGTTCTCCTGTTAATTCCCTTCTGAAAGTTCTCCACTGCCTTAACCGGGTATTGAACTCACACTCTTTGGGTCCTGTCACTGGATCTAACTAACGCCTTTATCTATTGTGCCATGTGCCTTATTAGTGGGAAGTGGAGAAGGACAAGTAGTCTTGGTTTTGCTCAATCTTATTGAATTCCATCTAGTTAAATTTGGATTTGATTCTCCTTGCGATTGTTTGGGATTTTGCGATTTCAATTATTATTTTGAAAGAGGATATTTCAATACATTTCATTTTTTAATTTTCATAACTTTTTGATCCACCTTCCTGCAAACTTCAAGAATTATCATCCAGTTAGACTCTTTTTTCTCTCTCTTCCCCCCCCCCCCATGCTTTTTTTTTTTTTTTTTTTAATTAATCCCCTGAGGTCCCAGTGTCAAAGTCTGTCAAAGCTACCTCTGGGTTTTCCCTGTTAGCAGTAGAAGAGCTTGACATATTCACTTATGAACCTCTTTCTAGCTTGTCTAGATCCAGTTTTCTGTCTTCTGTCAATAAAAGCGATGGCGGGGGGGTGCATTCTGTGGTAGACAGTTGGGATGACTGTGTCTTGTGCAGTCCCATGGGCATTTTGTTCCCAAATTGCTGTGACTTCTAAGGCAGTATCATTCTGTTACCTCCTGTCTTTCCTTACTCTGCCTATTATCCCCGATAGCATTTGGGAGAGTAATCCTTGTGTCCCCCCCCCCCACCTCAAATCACCCTTGCCATATTTTATAGCGACCTGTCATTTAACCAATAGCTGGAGGAAGGTGAATTTATGCATTTTTCAAGTACATTAGTGCAAAGCAAATGAAACAGAATAACTAGAGAATTGAATTTGGCACTTCCACATTACCTTCTCTACAAACTGAATGAATATAATTTTAGAATAAAAAAGCCTACTGCAAAATTACTGCTTATTTACTGTTATTAGAATCAAGAAACAAATTTTTTTTTTCCATCTTCAATGTTACAGAGTGTTGCAGCAAAATCCGACACTTGACAAAAAGAAAACGAAATAGGCAATAAAAACAAAAGTTATATATGCAGGGACCTGACAGTTTATTGAACACCTCCACAATGGCAGCCTTCAGAGAGTTGACCGTGTTGTTGGTGTGCTTGTTGGTCTTGGCCTCGATCATGCCCCAGAAGGAACAGCCAAGGAAGTTGCAGTCGAGTAAGGAGGGTGGCCACAAGTCCGGCAACCAGTGGTGAGGAACATTGTTGAGCAGCCACACCTGGGTCCTCTTGGCCTTGTGTGCAGGAGTGGAGTCCTGCTGGAAGACATGGGGGCATCCAGCAGCAATCTCGTCCATCCAGGGCTTCATTCTCAGGCCCTTTTGAAGAAAGAACAGAGGCATGACATCCCCCTTGATGGAGATGGCACCAAGGACCATGATGGAGGAGGGAAACTTTGTATGCTTCACGACAGGAACCTCCTTGATGTTTTTGCAGCTCATTCAACAAAGCCACCACCTTGACCTTCCTCAACTCCTTGAAGGCATTCGTGATGAGCATGTGGTGAGACTTGCAGTAGGAGGAGTAACCAATATCCTTCTTGATCGTTCGGCAGATCGTCGACTTATGACAGCCCATGTCAGTGGCAATCTTGGCGTAGCTCTGGCTTCCATCATTGTCAGCCGTCTCCTTGACGGCAGCGACGAACTTGTCGGCCCTAACAGCCAAAGAACGAGCCTTTTGGGCCTTTCATTTGGCAGTAAACTCATCCTTCCACTTCCTCCGAATGTCCATGACCATGGCCCTCTTGAACCCAAACCAGGCCATCACTTCCACAGGCTTCTTCCCGACGCAAAAAGAAGCTACAACCGCTGCTCTGCACTCATATTCCATCCTGGAAAAGGGTGGAGAGAAAAGCGTTAGTTATAAAACTGTCGGGTATCTGCATATACCTTTTGTTTTTATTGCCTATTTCTTTTAATTTTCTTTTTTTTTTTTTTTTTTTTTTTGTAAAGTTTCAGATTTTGCTGCAATACCCTTTAGAATCAAGAGACAATTTTTTTTTTTTTCCATTTTCAATATTAGAATCAAGAAACAAAAAATCTACCAATTTTTTTTTTAATGATCTGTACATTAATTAATCCCATCATTTTTTTTTCATTTTTTTTTTTTTTAAGGATACTCTACTGCCTGTATGCACAAAATGTCCTGAAACTAGAATAATTTTTTCCTTTTCCAGGAAGACATCCGAGACAATTGGATTGACAATATCGATTGGCAGCAAATTAAACAGTTCAACAAGAAAAACAAATCAACTGGAAGTTTTGAAGATGAAGAATCGTTTGACACAAGACAGATCTATCAGCAGATGTTTGAATTGATGCAACCTGGGGAGACAGTGTTGAAGGCCCTACGGCGACTTGGCGGCAGCAAAGGGAAGCCTGCCTCATCCATCGACAGATGGAAGAACAAAAAGCAGACTAACAAAACTGATAACAGTGGTGCCAAATCTGCCACGTCCACAAACACGTTCGACGATGTGAAAAAACGCGAAGATAAGGAAAACATGTTGCGTTTGACTGGCTTTGCTGACAAACTTTTGAATGCTGGCCAAATGGAGGTGTACGAGATGACCTACGAGAAGTTGTACTATATTCTAAAGCCAGAGGTTTCAAAATTTGGCTTGTCTCACGATAGCTCGAAATCGACTGCTGCAAAAGAAACTGACGACGCCATGCTGGATATGTTTGCCGATTCTATTGATGATAAAACGGAGTCTAATGGAAAGCCAAGGACTAATGCTGAGCACCGAGAAGGAGAAAGTAGCCATGAGAAAAATGGAAATTTAGCTGGTAGGTTGTCGGATTTTTTTGTTAAATTGTCTAATTTCAACATTGGTCTTGGAGCAGCTTGCTCTGCGTGGTCTGCAAGATTTTTAAATGGAACAAAAAGAAGAGTGAAGAATTTATGAATTACCCATAGGAATTAAATCTTTTAATTAAATACTATTAAAAACCATCTAATTTGGAAGATAAGACTATTTCAAATCAGGCCATCAGTTACCAAATAATTAAATATAAATCAATCTCAAAAATAAAATTCTCAGTGTGATAACTCCAAATTTGTTAACTGCTAATTACAGTTCTTTCAACTTTTCTTTTTATGATTTCCCTCCAGCTATGTATTAATTAGTAAGACTTGTGTCACCAAACCATTATAATTAAAACAAAAGAAAAACTCTTACAATCTAAAAATATTTTCAAGGCTTTAAATAACCTGTAAAGAGGTGATAAACCATAGAAAACAAATCGACCAACAAAAAAAATTTTAATAAGAAACTAGAAATAAATACTGTCTGCACTCTTCTCCATCAGTCACAGTGGTATACTAGTGATTATTTATTTTTTTTAATGCTTCAAATTCTTCTTTATTATCTGCTTTCTTGAGAAAGATAATGATATAACCCAGGTGTGAGGGTGTATATCTTATTTTGTATTGTTGTTACTGCACCAAATATGACCCGACTCCTTCCCAACAGCGACCAACATACATAACTTGTACATGTGCTACCTACCAAATACAACACATCTGTCTAGATTTTTGGATATCATACTCCAAATTTTGAAGGTGTCTTGCATTTGGTACAATCAATTTCACTGGTTTATTCCCTTCACTGGAATTCCTGTCTAATGGATTCTGTCCATTGTGTACCTGCCAAAAAATGACAGGTCATGACTTTGTTGATCTGGGGGGAGATTTCGATTGTACTGTTTCTTTCAGGTGATCATACTGAAAAAGGTGTAAATGTGCCAAGGAAAGACACTGTTGAAAAATTATGAACAATTTAAATTGGGTTGAAATGTAAAAATCATGCAACAGCTATTTCATCCCAGTCACTTTTCTACTCTTGAGGCACTGAGAGACATCTATTTGTCAAGAAATACAGGAGTGTTAACATCTCGGCATTGAATAACTTCTACAGTAGATTTTTTTCTAATGCATGATAAAGGACAAGGCTTCATGTTTTCTCTCAATTGTTCAGCTTCAAGGCATATGCTCTGAAGATCTCTGGGTAATTCTACTGTTTCCTGCATATATATAATCCATTTATATAGACTTTGGTTTGCGAATAAGCATGATTAACCTTTACCATGATGTGCCACTAAAAAAAAAAAAAACAAATCAATCCAGGTAACTTTCAAGAAATTTTGAACAAAACCCTTTACTTAATCTCCTAGTGGGGTAGATTTTTATCATTCCACTGTCCATTTAGAACTGCTCAGTTATTGTTCACCTTGTGTGCCACTGTGTTGTAGTTTTGTACTATCTGGCCTCAAGTTAGTGCAGCAGAATGAGGACAATCTACCTGCTGTAGATTAAGTAACAGGTTCAGTTCTAAATTTCCTGATGCTTACTTGGATTGAAAGACACCTGGAGAAGGTTGGAGAACACAATAGCTGAAGCATTGCGATAATAATACCAAAGATGAAGATGTTAGTCTAAATGTAAATAATAAATCCTCATCAGAGATATCTTATTTCTTATAATACCTTTCTAGTAAAAGCATTGTCCTACAATGAACTTAAGATGTGACTCCCATCTTGGTGAGGAGTGATGGTTAATGAGCTAGTCTGGTTGAGAGTTACTATAGAAAATGGTTGGTAATTATTCATGATCTTAATTTTTTTTCCCCCCTCTTTGAATCTGTGGGATGTGTGGGTGTTATAATAGATAGCAGCTTAGAATAAGAAATTTGAGAGCCAAGTTCAAATTCCTGTTGAATTCGTGATATTTGCTTAATTGCAATTACTCTTGGGGAGAGTATGAATTGCTCACTACCCCCTCCCCGCTACAGGTTAAATAGCAGATCTTGTATATGGAAAATCATTGTTATTTTAAAAAAATTGTTAATGTTCAATCGCAAAAAGAAAAAAAAAAAGAATTACTGCATACACAAGGATAATGCAAGTTTTTACAATCAGTTCTTCAAGCAAAAAATAGGGTTTTGCACTATACACAGGTTTTTTTTGGTGGGGGGGGTAAAGGGGTTAAAAATCATGCATATTCGGTGACCAGTTGCACTATACACAGATTAATGTCTTTCTGGGAGGGTTAAAATTCATTCCTCCCCTCCAAAGAATAATCCAGAGTCTCACTATACAGGAAGTCTGCTTATACACAAGCATATAAAGTATTCTTACAATCTAAAATATATTTGGCTTTGAATAACCTACAAAGGATTGATAACCTGTAAAAAAAAAACAAAAAACAATGAATCTTTAAATCCAACAGCATTGTTTTAAATTCTTCACTTTTTTTTTTTTTTTTTTCTTTCCAGAAAGCAGTCTTCATAGTAACGAAGTGTGCTGGATGTATAAATGGCGAGATGATGACACAGAGGTATATGGTCCTTACAGCAGTTCACAGATGTTGCATTGGACAAACGAGGGCTACTTTCCTGATGGCATCTTAGTACGGAAGGCTAATACTGAAGGACAGTTCTACAGCTCCAAAAGAATAGACTTTGATCTCTATATTTGATCCCTCCTCCCCCAACCCTGCTCCCATCTCCTTTCTCACCCATTCCCAAACTTGCCTTCTTTTTGTATTTTGTTTTTTTTTTTAAACCCTCCACACCCTACCCATCTCATGCCTTACTTTCTTTCATTTTTTTCTTTTTCTTTTTTTCTTTTTTTTTTTTTTATATTCCCCATTTGTATTTTGTCGTATTCTTGCTGCACATTGCATTATATTGTGAAACACTCTGGCAAGTTTATGGCTTTTTCGGAAAACTTCTCCCTGTGTGAATATTTAAGTTTTGCGGTTTGCTTTTATTTCAAATATGATGTGCTGCGGTGTGCACGTTACTACTGTAACTTCACAGAAAGAATACTCTTCCTTATTCTTATCTTTTATCCACCACAACCAGCCCCAAGTTAAAAAGCTTATTCAGAAGACAATTTAAGACCTACAAGACGTGGGTGACCTCCTAATTGACATCTGAGCCTCAGACAATTTTGTGGGAGTGATTTTGATGGGTTTTTTTTAATCTTATTTCAATGTTTATAATTTTCTGATGATGTGAATAAACATCGAAATATTCTTTAAATTACCCGCAGTTCTCGTTTGTTATCATTATCTCTGGACTAGTATCTTCATCTTTGCTGCTTTGATTACTTTTTTCTGGTTAATGTGATTTTTCGGTTTCCCTTGGTCTAGAAATGATTTTTTTTTTTTTTTGTTTTATATCTTTTTTTTATTTTTGTCCTCCCTTTAGATCAGGGTTCAAGCTTGTTTTATCTAAGGACTGCCTACAATGAACTTCAGAAGATATCAGCCTCATCTTGGTGTGAGGGGTGATGGTTAACGAGCTACTCTGATTGATAGTTACTATGGAAAAGTGAGTTTGGGCTTGACTGGCTGACCCATTCTTATGGCGATGCACCAATCTAAGCTAACCTTAGTAAATGCTACTGGACAACTTGAGCAAAGGTTAGTGAGCTAGTCTGTTTGACCACTACTATTGCTAAATAGCAAGTTCAATCCATACTGAGTTCCCCTATAGTTGTAGCCTTATGCCAAGCTATGTGTCGTATGTAATAACTGTAGATGTAATCATAAAACACACACTTGTTATTACCAAGCATATGCATACATATAGTAGTTATATATATATATATATATATATATATATATATATATATATATATAATCCCAGCTTCAGTGATCTCGCCCATTGGTGAATATATTATAATTCAGCCTGTCCCTTGTTTCTTAACACATACATTATGCCCTCAGTTAAAACAATCAACCATTCCTATTTGATAATGAGGATAGATGGAAAGAAAGGTATCTGAAAGGTGCTGTTGGGTGGGCGATGTGCAACTGTACAGAAAAATGGTGGGTGATATAGGATTTTAAGTATTAAAGAAATTTCAACATGTGCTACCCAAACAAAAAAAAATATTCAAAGGTTATATGCAAAGAACCTATATTAAAAAAAAAAAATGGTGGCTAAATGGAAATAACTGGGTTACATTTCTAAATAAGATATTAATATCCCAATGAATGAGGAATGTTTTGGTATTTTTTTTTTTATAGTTTTAAGAAGGTTCATTAATTTTATATACCAGAGCAAGAATGTATATAAACACATGCAACAAAATAAATCCTACATTTGCCTTGATGAAGTCTTTCAGAGGACAAAACGCATCTGCTAAGAATAGTTTTTCCTCTCGTCTTTTTATGCATTTTGTATCTTTACAGATATTCCATCTGAATATATATATATATATATATATATATATATATATATATATATATATATATATATATAATACTTTATGTGGGTGATAACATGATGAAACAGACTAAACTATTTTATCATATCTCTCTCTCTCTCTCTCTCTCTCTCTCTCTCTCTCTCACACATATATATATGTATATATATATATATATGATAAAAATAGTTTTAAGGTACATTTATGGATAAAAGTGCTCAATATCAGAGACAGTGTATGTAACTATATAAACAGTGTTTCATGCTGTCACTCACAGTGTTGTGTGTGTGTGTATATATATATATATATATGTCTTAAGATGTGCTATATTTATGGGATAAAGTGCTCAATATCAGAGATAGAGCATGTGTAAATATAAAAGTGAACATAGAAGTCAACACTTAGAGGCAACAGTCTATTTCATGCTAGATGCAATCGTCAGGCCATCCAGCATGAAACAGGCTGTCGCCTCTAAGTGTTGACTTCTATGTTCACTAATATATATATATATGCATTCACATAAAATGAGACAAATGGTCAACTTGGCTGGCATCCTTCAACAATAAATGTCTGTCCATTAGGTTCCAAAAATGCTGGCAGTTTGACATTGTACAAATCGTTTGTCCCCTCAAGATTTGGGCACCTATGTGTCAACACCAATTATCCTCATCTGAATCAGTTACTATTAATGCTAGAAATGTCAATATCCAATTCATCTTGTATTTCTTCTAGTTTTTTCGTTTTTTTTTTTTTTTGGAGACTCCATTTTGTTGTGATTCTTGATTTCTCGTCAAATGATGAAAAAAAGCAAAGATTGTAAAACTTCAATTTTCTTCACTAATTGAACAAAGAAGAAATGACAGAATTAGCACATGGTCAGTCTTATTGTTTGCATGACTTCCTATGTTATTTGCTATGATGGCGTCATGTATTATGGTAGAGTACACATGGGGGAGGGTTGAACATTGAAAACCAATATTTGCAGGGCAGGTTGAATGCTAAAGGGTTTAATTTTTGTAATAAAAGTTTGGCTAATAAGTTCTCTCTTAGATCTCATAACCTAAATAATTTTTACTATATCTTGTAGGTTTAACTGAAATTGTAAGTTTTTTTATATATATATATATATATATATATATATATATATATATATATGTATGTATGTAATGGCCTTACCCCATTTAAAATAATTGGCTACTTCTCTACTGACCCTTCTGTCTTGTTATTTTTTGTTTGAATTTGTGTTTTATAAGGTACATGCCTTTTTTATTGTTACTCTGGCTGTGAGGCACTGACTCTGCCCTCTTTTTATTCCTGTTGATCAATCTCTTTTTAGTGTGTCCCCACTTAGGCTGTCTTCCCACAATCTCTGCCCTCCAGTTCTTATCTTCTGCTAACATGTCATCAACAACTGCCTCTTTTTCTCTTTATTAGTGTTCATTTCTCAACATGTATGTTTTTGTTATCTGCTGTCAAAATCAGGAGTAATTTGTCCTCATGAAGCAATCTGAAACAGCTAAATCTAACCCTCTTTTTTTTTTTTTTTTTTTTTTTTTTTTTTTTTTTTTTTGCCTATTGTGTTTCCTCTAGCCCCCTTCTTCCTTATCCATTTTCTTGACAAACCATCCTTGATTCCCAAATTTCCACCACCAGTTTGCATTGCAAACTTCATTGCCCATGTTTTAATGGGGTTGTGAAAAAATTTTTTTTTTTTTTTTTTTTTTGCCATCTATTGCTTTTCTGTCCAAAATTTAAAAAATATTTGAAAAAAAAAAAAAAATAAAAAATTTTTTTTTTTTTTTTTATTCAAAAAAAATTTTTTTCTTTATGTTGTCTCTTTATTCACTTTTTTCCTTCCAGAAAAAAAATCTTTTAATTGTTTGAGGATTTTTACAACTATAAAATCGTTTTATAACATGTTCACGTATTTCAAAACTTACAACATGCTATCTACACAGAATGAAAAGGGTGTGCTGATTTAATCTTCAGCCCTCTGCGTCATTTATATTACTTCCCTTTCCACTGCATTCTTTTTCAAAGCCTCTCAATTGCAGTATCCATATTGCTGATTTCACTCGGTTGTTTTCTGTTGCCATAGCAGGATATGACAACACAACTATGAATTCAAACATACTCTTGTTCAGAGTCAACTTCAGTGGCAGGATAAAATTTTGTACAGAAAATGAAGTCATATACAGTGATAAAGATTAAATAACAAGACTTGAATCTTTCATTATTCAACATTACATTTTATTCAACTTCAATTCTTTATTAATTGCTCTCTATTCTTTAAGACATTCAATCTCTTTTCTGGTAGACATTAATTTCACTGTTAACAGCATCTTTGCATATTGAAGTGGGTTTGCTGATTTAAATAACAAGACTCTAATCCCATTTAACATTACATTTTATTCAGCTGCAATACTTTGTCAATTACTCTCTATTCTTTATTAAGAATTTCAATCTCTTGGCCAATAGACATTATTTTCTCTGTTTAAAAAAAATATCTATTCATAATGAAGACTTGAATCTTTCTTTATTTACCATTACATTTTATTCAACTGCAATACTTGGTCAATTACTTTCTATAGTTTGGTCATATCTATCACAGTTCCTATCTATCTATTTATCTTTTAATAAAATCTTTTCTATGAGAACAAGTAACTTAATCTCTCATATTTAATATTACATTTCCTTCAACTCATGACTTTGCTAGTTACTCGTGACCAGTGTGTGAAACAGGTCATATTACCTCTGGTCTGATACATGGAGCTTACACTTGGTCTGCAATGTGTGAGAGACTGCCCAACTCCTCTGAAGTGGTGCTTTATATATCCACTCCAACAGTTTTTCTTAAGAATGCATAATATGAGTAGTAGTAGTCTTGCTCATATGTGTCAAGCTTGAGGATCACCATTGTCAAAGGTGTCAGATGAACTCAACAATTGACAATCTGGCCTGAAATTAAGTGTCAGGCCTATCTGGCATAACAGCATTAGAGTTAACCATAAGAAATTGCTATATAAAACTAAGACGATCTATGTTTTTGCTATCTCAGCTATTTGAATCCTCATGTGACATATATATATATATACACACACATATAATTATTTTTTAAAAATATGATTCCTTCGCTACATAAGAGTTCTCATGTTTCAAAAACAAGAACCAAAAACCTCAATATAATTATTAAAATTAAACTGAGTTAAAGTATCAAGCCCTGTTTCATTCTCAAGCAAAAATTTAGGAATAACCAATTTTGAAATTTACGCATCTTTATAAGCATGTTCATTTGTAAAATTAATTACTATGGAAATGGCTGGGGCGACCATTTTGGTAAGGGCTCTACTGTGGCGTAGCTAAGGGGGTGGGCGGTCCGCCCCGGGTGCCAGCACAGGAGGGGTGACACAATGTCTCCCGGCTAACAAAATTTTTCAACCAAGCTAATGTGCCAAAAATAGTCTGAAAACAGTGGTGGAGACACAGGGTTTCGCGGGCTGGCATATGACCCTCCAGTTTTGTCCCCCTGTCAGAAATTTTCTAATAAATTGTCAGGAAATTTGTGAGTAAGAAAAATAGCAATGTTTTCAGCTTTCATGTGTTTCAATTGCTACAATCTTGGTTACTAACAAGAGACATTGTTGTAACATTGTATCGAATGATATGGTGTTTTAACTCTGCATCATTAATAACAACAAAGCGAAATACGAAGCCAAAAGTGCAACAATTTCAGTCTTGCCTGTGTATCAATTCGCTGAGATACAATTTTCCATTGAGTGAGCAATATACTTTTAAATATATCTTCTAGTGTTGGGACGATTAATCCGAATTGAGAATCGGAAAAATCAGAACTTTTTGGGGTATTGAAAATGGCATCGGAAAAATTTGTGCCTATTTTTCGATTCCAAAAACGATTCTTTTAAATTTTTAACTTAATTTTCCATTATTGGTACTAATTGTTTTTAAATTATCACTAAAACTAAAATCATAATAACATCAAAATACGATGTAAATTTATTTTACTTGTATAAAGAAAAACAAAAAAATAAACTTTGCATAAATTCTCTAGGTAACCTTTAAAAGAATGCAATTGATTTACAATGTTCCGAAAAATGCTTAAAAATTAAATAGAACATTTTTGTCAAGAAAAATACTTTCAAACATCATGGATAATTAAATGGTACCCTGAAAACGATGCAACAGAAAATTGGACACCGGAAAATTACGTCAACCATGAGCCAGTCGAGACTTGGATCTGGCTGTGCTGTCCATTGAAAACGAGCTTACAAGACACAGATTTTGACGATGTCATTGACCAGTTTGCCACAATGAAAACAAGAAAACATTCATTCTAAGACCATAGTATCAAATGTCATTCTTTTGTGTATTGCCGTGTTTTGTATTTAGTTGTTCTGAAAGTGAACAGTTGCATTTTAAAAAACTTTTGATTTGAACTGATTATTTTGTGGTATTGGATTTTGTCTTGGTTCCTACATGTAAACAGTAACGTACCGGTCAGTAGAGTAAAGTAGAACATGTATGAAAATTTAGCTACAGCTAACCATTCAGCATAGGGTGAATTGGGGTGACATTTGAGCGGACCGCCCCGGGTGACGTTTACTCTAGCTACGCCACTGGGGGTCTAAGAGATAATTTTTATCTACATATCGGTCACCTTCAGAAAGAGGTCAAGCTGAGGAAGGGTGGGGGCATTCATTTCAAAGCGAATGATGGCTTTGACTAGCTTGGACTGGCTCCGGCCTGGACCTGTTAGGACAAGTCATGACCAGCTTTGACTAGGCTCTGACCAGCTTGGACAAGCAATGACCAATTTTGACCAGTGGCCTTTGAGTGGAAACACTCGGGTCTCCCACGTTAATCGACCTTGTGTCACATCTTGATCTTGTGGGAATCAAGTAAATACTATTCACGTGCACACATCATCTGGTCAGTCACAGCGGAAGATTACTTCTTCTCTCCCCCTCCCCCAGCTATGAGTAAATAGCAGGACAGACCGGGTTCTATAGCCTTGGATGGCAACTGTTCTACCGAAGAAAGAAATGGCAACCTACTGTGAGTGAGGGGGGAGATCTGCCTCGTCAGTCATGTATTGAAAGATACATGATTGCCTAAGCGTGTATCACACATGGCACATAACTGACTGACTGATATTATGCAACTAGTTAATCTTTATATACATTTAGAATCATGCCCTCATCTTTGTTATTGCTTGCCCAGAAAATTGAACTCACAAATGCTATGCCATCAAACTCTCCCAAACAAATGCTTTAATCCAATACGTTATTGTCCATTAGTACAGATTTAGATTTGGTGGAAACATGACCAACAATAGCTAAGAATTACTAAAAAGGTCAAGACATGACTTCGCTAGATATGGACAATCTAATCCTTTAGATTAAAGAAAGAGTTCAGTTCAACATTTCTTGAAGATTAACCAAATTGACATAGACCTGAAAAAGACTAACGGGTACAATATTTGAAACATTGTAATAGTAACAAAGATAAGGACATTAGTCTGTATGTAAATAAGGATAGCTCTCCATTTTAGCAATTCAGATGGAAATGAATTATGCTCCATTTTTAGCAATTCAGATGGAAATGAATTATGCTCCATTTTTGGTTTATGATTGACAGTGAATTGTTTTCTACTTCGTCTGAGTGTTAATGCGTGTTAATACATACAATACATATATAGTATGCATGTGTTGCAGACCCGGTAGCATGCAGTGCTGGTTTATTAAAAGGTGGCCTTGTGCCAGACACTACTTATGACTACCGAATCCATAAACAAAGTAAGAATATTAAATGAGTGATCTTTAGTGATGAAAAGGGGTCATTTAACACATGCACAAAAATAGTAAAAATATAGATAGCCAGGATTAAACGACAAAATGAGTCTGGTGGAAAACAATAAGAAATTTTATTTTTATAACAAATAATCTTGTCTCAACAGTGGAGAGTATCAGAAAAGGTAAGGTCTGTTTTTAGCCTGTAGGCTGTTAGTAATATGTAGAGACTAATAAAATGTTAAAGTTCCGCGCCAAAACAGGAAAAACCAAGATGGCTAAGGCAGGAAAAGTTTCTTCAGAATGAAAGTTCTGGAATAGTGTCTTTTTGTACGAAAGGTGTATGCGTACACAAATAGGAAATGTACTCACTGCAAGGTTTAATAATGTGTGTGTAATGTTATCTTTTTTTTTAAACTGGTTCGTAAAGGTTAGAATTCAAAAGAGGTGTATGAAAAGTTCATCAATCTTCAGTGAAGGAAATGGAGTTGTTCGCATCCAGACGAGGAATTTGGTCTTGGAAAAGTGTAGTGACGACAGTGTCGTAGAACTCTGGTAGTGAAAAGAGGAAAAGTTTGAAAGTTGTTCGCATCAAGACGAGGAATTGGTCTTGGAAACATGTGGTGACAACAGTGTCGTAGATTCTGGTAGAAAATGAAGTAGGTTCAAACATGTTCACTTCAAGACGAGGAATTTGGTCTTGGAAAAGTGTGGTGTCGACAGTGTCGATATTCAACGTTTTCTAGTAGAAAAACGGAAGAAGGTTCAAACAACTTGTTTGAAGAAAAGTTGTAATCACACGACATGTCGAAGTTTTGGTTAGTTAAGAATAAGGTATTCCGGCCCGCGTATGGGTTAGGGGCACGGAATAAATGAGTTGACTTTCTAGCTTGAAAATCAGGCCGCAACTAACTTGAAAACGCTGTTCATCTGTGACGTCAGGACACGCGCGGGAAAAATTTCAAATTCTGATCTTAGACGGTATCAGGAGTAACCTTCCTCACGTCAGCGTTTACTGCTCTATCTCGCTGAACGTGACAGGAGGGGTACAGTCCGTGCGCGCGCGCACACATGCAAAAGGGTGGAATTCACGATTCCACACATGCATAAAAATATTTTTTTATTTGGCATTAAGGGTATTTACCATCTCCCCACTCTCGCGTGTCTCAGTCAACAAAGGAGAGGGTGTGATGCACATCGCTGGAAGAGCCCGCATCTTGTCGGCCAATCAGCATGTATGAGCATTCAGTTTGCTTCCTGAATTGCAGTAAAATTTTGAATATGTAAGAATTAAATATTACAGGGTGGGCACCAGAATTTTAGAAATACCAAAGTGGGACATGACCCAAAATCAGTTGGGAACCATTTCCTTAACACCACTATTATTTAAACTACCTTCACTACTCAGCAATATTGACTGTTTTGAAAAGTGATGATTAGAATTGTAATAAAACCTAAACATATGAAAGTGAATTTATATACTTTTTTTTGTTCTTGACAACTGGCAACAAAAATAATAAAAATAAACACTTTATTTATTAGATTGTTTATTGGAATGCTTGGCAAAGCATTGGGTAATTGCCAATGAATTTGAATTTTAGAAAATGGTAAATAAGGATTTCCTTATAATTCACATATTTTTATAATTTAATAAACGTTTATAAATTTATGAATAAAACATTTTCTTTATTAATTGCTAAATGATAATGTATTTCATTAGTATTTTAATACAATTGTATTAGTTTTTAGAATGTTTATTTTCAAGAATATAATTAATAAATCAAATAAATAGTGTATATTCTTAAGAAAAAAATGTATAAATTCTTTTCT